ATATTCTTTTGACCGTTCAAGTTGCCTTTTATACTCGGGTGGGAGATGAAATATATTTATTTACTTCCCTACGAGGTGGCAGACTTTTGGGGCCCTCCAGCCACACACGACCCCGCCGTAAAAGGTGGAAATCAAAAAAGGGGGGGTTGGGTGGGTGGGAAGGTGCAGAACAAAAATAAATAAATTATCCAGCCGCTATCGGTTCCCTGCTGCTCTCCCCAATAAAGTCGTTTATTTCCCAAGGATCCATAAGATAGAAAAAAGCATCGTAAAGAAGAGCATTAGTGTTATCAGCATATATGTACATGTACATTACTTCAGTTAGCCAGCTCTCCCCGCGATCATTCTCTTCACACGCTCCTAATAAAGCCGTAAAAAAAAATATTTTTTTTTTTGTTTATTCGTCCGGCTATTTCTCTGTCTGTGATAAACACGAGGCGGGCCTCCTCCCCTCCCCGTAAAAGAGGACAGAAAAATGAAAATATTTCATAAACCACATTATAACTGCCGGGCCCTCGTTGTGAACCAAGTAAATAACAGCATTTGGCGTCCCGCAACCGCCAGACTCCCAGTTATGCAGGGCGGTAGTGCGTGGATAGGACTCCGGTAAAAAAAAAAAAAAAAAAAACTGCGTCCGCTACGTTCCAAAGTGTCCCCGTGGGAAAAAACAAACAAACAAATAAAAAACAAAGAATACAGGCCGGTCACTCATTGATGTGGCCTCATCCGGGAGCACGTTCCTTCCACAACTTCCTATTAACAGTAATTAACAATTGGAATATTCTGCCATTCGTCTCCGCCCCACACGTGTGGCGACAATGCGGGACACATGGAGAGAATTTCATGGACTTCTCTCTGGGAAACTCGGCGGCCCATCACCACAGCTCAAACAGGCACCACCACCACTGCGGCAATGGCAGCAAGGACGGTCAAAATGAAGTGCCCCAAAGCGGCTGTTGCTCTGGCATCACTGCCATCTGTGGGAATGAGTAAAACACGACTGCTGCCGTTGGCGGCTATGGTGCACACTTCCTCGTACTTGGGACAAATTATTTTGCCGCCTCCCCTGAAGTACCTCGATTTGGGTGTGATGGATTGACCCGCGGGACAAAGCTCAAAAAAATTGCCGCCAAGGTACTTCACAAACACTCCATCATGACGGCATAAAACCCGCGCGCACACCGCAACGACGTTGGCTTGCCATTTGCCACCAACAGCCGTCTTTGCCTCGAGCGAGTCCCCATCGAGGCACCACGACCCAATCCCCAGGAGGGATCCGGGCGGGTTGCCGCTTCCTTCCAAGGTACAAATCGCCCCCAATGGAGTTTCATTTACCAAAGCGGGGAAAAAAATTGGGCAAGTTTCCGGTGGCTCCGCATGGCCATCACCGACACTTATAAAACATGGTCCAATGGTCTGGCGATCAGACGAACAGCGTAATGACTTGTCTTCCTCATTGCAGAACATACCGGGGTAAGTGACGGGGCTTTCCGCTGAGCACTGCTTGTTGAGAAAATCGCAGCCGGCGTTCTTGCCCCAATCCATCGGTTCCCCCATCCCCGGCACAGTCTTGTAGTAGCCGAGGCCCTCGAGCGTTATCATCGTCAGCTCAGTGTAGCGGCCGGCAAAATTTTCACCAAGAGGGCACATTAGCTCGTCCTTCGCGTTGCGCATCGGCCAGTGACTCTCCGGCAGACCACCGGGCCCCATCTGCAGCTCCATGCCCTTTATACTGCCACACCTGTAGTGCTTCTTCGCCTCCTCCAGCGTAGCAGTGTAGTTCACCACCGCCACAGGGGTGGGGCTGCCGCGCACGCCGTCGACTGCCAGCAGCATGTTGCGCCTCGCCATTTCTCGCACGCTGAACCCGAGGGCATGGGTAATGAAATGCGCAGCTGTGCGAGAAGCGTGCATGTTGAGCATAACAAACTTAGGTGTGAACTGCATGGCAACAGCCACGGGGCGAAGGTCTTGCCAAGCAGCACACGGAACGGCCCACACTTCTGAACCCGTTCCTGCAGCCACGTAGAGAACCGTGTCCGCACCCAAAATACCAACACCTCTGTGACTGGGAGGTACGGTGAAGTACCGGCAGCGGCTTCTCTCGCCAAATCCGGGCATTACCCACCGGACGTTTATGCGCTGAACAAGTAGACGTTCAGCGTGCAAATTGACAGCCACAGGGATGACTTCATCCAACAAGGTCCTTTTCTTCTCCTCGGTCAAAATGTCATCAGCGGTGCACTCCCTATCACGGCCGGCAAAGTCCGGTTTCGTCTCCCCCACCTTGGTGCAGTGCTTCGTCTCGTTCTCCAGATCCTCCACGGAAACCATGATACGAAGCGACTCCCACCCGTTGTTCGCATCGTCTGCCGCGACGGTGTACGCCTGCACGGCACCCTGTCCCCGGCGTGGCACCCCGCGCACCACCGCAGTCGGCAGCGGGCCGCTCCTCCTCATTATCACGTCAAACCCACAGCGGTATTGTGTGGTGGGAGCGGCGACAATACATCCACTGGCGCAGTACATCAGCAGCAACACCACAAGCCACAGCCGCAGCGGCAGTGCAGTGTGGCGTGGCGGGCGTATGGCGTGAAAGAGATGCATCTGGTGACTCGGTGTGGGTGACGACAGCAGCAATAGCAGCAGTATTAGTATTATTAGCAGTATTATCAAAGGTCTTGTCAGTTGGAAGGGAAACAGGAGAGAAGAAGAGAGAAAAAGGGCGAAGAAGGACTGCGCCCAAAAGAGCAGCAGGGGGGAGAACACAGCGCACAGCCAACCAAAAATATTAATAATAATAATAATAATAATATTAATAATAATAATAATAATAATAATAATAGTAATAATAATAAAGGAATGGCAGTGAGCAAATATTGGACGTCAAAACATATAAACCTCTCAAAACCCTCATTTACGTAATAGCATGCAAACGGCGGCGGGGAAGCACGGGAAGAAAAAGAAAAGCAGGAAACAAATTAAACCACACTTGCGCCAAACACGGACGCAAAGGCAATCTTCCCTGTCCCTCAGCGGAACAGCCACGGACACGCCCCGTCTCGGTTAAAGTACACGGATTTTCCCTCGTCCCGCCCGCAGCAAACAGCGCACATTTTTATATACATGCGATGCTCTTTTTTGCCCTTTCCTCCACGTCATCTTGCACCGGCACATCCTCTACAGAAATTACGTCCTCTCAACGCAATCACCGGCTTTCGCAAAAATGACAGGCAAAGCAAAGCAAGGCAGTCCAGGAATCATCACCGCGCGTCCTCCACAAGCAAACGGGTGTGGTGGCGCAGTGGATGTTCAATAATGTCATTACTACTCCGTTACGCATCTTGACTGCGGGGATCCACGGGCCAAGCGCGAAACATTGCTCTGCATTACGCTGTCTCCGCCAATCGCAGCGCCTCATAGTCGCGCCATCGCCACCACAGCGGCACATTTTTTCCTCGTGTTTTCTCAGACAAATACGACGGCCCGCACGCCAGCCGCCATCGTGAAGCACGTACGCCCTACTACGCGGACCTGCGCGGCAACAGCGCGGCCCCGCGAGGGAAACGCTGCCGGCTCCCGGCTTCCCCGGGAATGCGGGGAAAAAGGCCCCGACACCACGCCACGGCGGCGGTCTCCCGTTGGGCTCTTCGCTTTGTACTAGAGGCCTCCTGATGGTGTGTCGCCCGGTCCGCCCACACGACCGTGGGCGGCGCGGAGGTGACTGGCGGTGTCGCCCCTGCCCGACAGGCCCGGCAATCGACCGTGATACGCGCAACGCCGGCGCCCACGTGTGTTTTTCGCCGCGGCCTCCGCGTCAGGCGCGCCGCTCCTGCGGGAACGTCGCTGGCGTTGCGGGGCGCGCCCCGATATGCGTTGGTGGCGCGTCGATGACCACATCAAGGTGCCGTACGGGCCGGGATCAGGAGCGCCGCACGGCAGAATGGTTGCTTCTTGTCCCTTTGAAGAATTGTGCCCGCGTCCTTCGGCACTCAACCCTGGCGCCGCGATGGGGCGGCCAACTGTTAGGCCCTCGTGGCGCAACGGGCGTGGGAGAACAAGTCTCGGCAAACTGCCGACCGCCGCTTCCCAACCGAAAAGGCATTAAAGGGGGTAACTTAGCATTTGGCCTATTCATCGTCTCTTTTTGTGTTTGTGTGTTGTTGTTCTCCTGTGGCACCCCTGCGAATAAAGACGAGATGAAAGGGAAGGAACACTCACACACACAGACACACAGGGGGAGAGAGAGAGACCGCAAAGGCCAACATGCGCGGAAGCAGTTTTTTTTTTTTTTTTTTTTTTTGGGTGAGCGGCGTCTTCATCTTCCATTTCTTTTTTTGTGCCCAATTGCGGTTTTGGACTCGGCTCCGCCCCCACAAGTAAAATAACAGTAAAACGCCGCAAAAACTACAAAAAAAAAATGACCGACAAGAAGCAGAAACAAACATGCAAAAAAAAAAAAAAAAGCCTCACCCTCCACCTCCCCCAAATAATAATACTAATAATAAAAAAAAAGGGTTTTGATCAGAGGCCTTGGGGCTTCGCCCTTTGCGTATGTTGATTGGGCACAGGCCGAAGTAGCACACATGGCAGCCGCACGCTCGCATTCACACACACTCACTCTCTCTTCCAGCCATCCATGCCCACTGAAGAGAGAAAAAAAAGAAAAAAAGGAGGGCAAAATAATGCAAAACAACATCAGCACGCCACGACATCAGAAAAAAAGAAAAAAAAAAAGTGAGAAGAGGGAAAAAGGAACAGCCCCAGAAACAAGACACACCACCTTCTACACTTCCTTGACTTTTCAGGCCCCGTAAAACAACAAAAAAAGAAAGGAGAAAAAAAAAAAAGAAAAACTGTCAGTTGTTGTTGCTTTCTGTAGTTTGCGTCACTCCTCCATAGCCCTCCCTTTTTTTTTTTTTTTTTTTGGCGTCAATATATATATATATATATATATATATATTCCTTTTTCTTTTTATATATTCTTTTGTATTTTCTTCCTACGAAAATTTCACTGCGGGAATCCCGCTACGCTCTTTGTACGGCACAAATGGCCTATTGGGGAAAAATCGCTTGTCGTTCTTCCCCATGGATTCGAGGAGAGGACAAGGCGCAAACCGATCGTCCCTCAATACATCCTGCAGCTGACGGAGCCGGTCCACAATCACCGACAAGCCTCGGTGGTCTGCGTATTGCAGGAGGCCGCCCCGAAATGGCGGAAATCCTGTCCCCCAAATCATTCCAATGTCCACATCCTCTGGTGTGCGGCGACCTGTCTGAAGAATATA